AATTGACGGGGGGTAGTGAACGCAGTGTTCTGGCCGTCTCGTTAGCGCTAACCAAGAACCAACAGGACCTGGCATTGTCCACTTCTTCGGTTAGCACCAGGAGAAAAATTCCTAACGAGCTCTCAGCCACCGTTTAACACCTCGCCATATTCCAAACTGTTGTTTATACGTATGTGAAGTCGGTGTTGGTTTGGATTTATCCGCATCATGTGAAAATATTCAGGTGTTTGCAACGAGTCAACGACAATTACGTGAATGAGTCAGAGAGTGGAGATGATCATCTCCAGGATAAATTTAGGTAAACGGTAAAAAAAAGGATTTGGCGGGGCGCGTGGTCGTGATGGGGTGAGGGTGTGCCCGAAAAAAAAAATGATTAATAAAATATATATAATATAGTAGTAGGTGAGTCGTAAAAGCGAGAGATATGGCAACACGCATTACCATGTGAATATAGTGATTTCTGGTAGGGATTGGTCGTTGGAGGCTTTTGGTGTATGGGATGCTGGGGTCGAGCCACGTGGGGGCGGACGGCTTGTAAGCAGATACATTATTCTATGGGGACTAATGTAATATGAGAGGAGGGGTGAGAAACGTAGAATAGGGGGAGAGAAAAGGAGACTCCTTATCTCGACTTACGATAACGAGACTGGCGTTATCGAGTTAGCGCCTCATTGTTCGATTATTTCAGATGGTTTTTATCAGATAAAAACATCAGCTCTTCTGCATTCATTTTCACTCCCCTCTGGCTTTATAAAGTGGCTAAGTACATAAGTGTATATAACATGATTATATAGGCGATAAGGGGTAAGGCACACGTCGCGTGCCGATAAACTAACGAAATCTCGATGACAAATGACAAATGACCATTGGTTATTTCCACGAGATTGAGTCGAATTATTTTTGCCTCGGTGAGAGGGAAAATGTCATGATCCCTTATTTAAGTTGTTTACCATTGGGTTGTATATAATGATAATAAATAAATGCGAGTTTCCCGGGAAGATCGGGCGGTATCCACTGTGTCCACAACGTAGAACGACAATAATATCATATTTGGTTTTGTTACTCTTCTCGTTTTATTCGCCTCTCTCGCGATATTTATTCACTGCATTGTCTCACGGGCGTTCTGTCTCTATCCGACGGTGAAACAACGACAACTTCATTCGTGCACCTCCACCACAATCTTTTTCTCCCTCACTCTCTCTCTCTTTCTATCTTTCTCTCTCTGTTTTTCTCTATATAATACCGACGAGAGTAGTCCCCCGAGCATGCCATATTGGCCAAGTTATGAAGCACGCCTTGCACCCGTTACGTGTGCATCGATATATGCCGACAAGTATAAAGCAAAAGAGGACTCTTATAATGCAAAACTCTACGGTTATATCTCAAAAGACAAAGATAGTGGGGTGGGCATTTGCGAAGGGCCCACCCAACACACGCACTAGATAGGAGAGAAAACGTGTACTCTGGGGCCCGAGTGCGGCGTTTTACCCTGGCACGAACTCGTGTTCAAGGTATCTGGTTTCTTCGCCTCGTTACCTTCGTAACTTCCATGAAATGCCAATACACTCTGTTTATTCGTATGCATAAATTGTCCATTATAAATTGTATCAAACATATCGGAAATGAAATTTATCGTCAATACCCGGTGAAAGAAAATTAAAAAAAAAATGAGACAAAAAGAAAAGCTAGATATTCGATGAAATGGTCATTGCGTAAATTAATGGATGCAAATTCGAGTACTTGAGGGACATAATGTTCCTCAATTTGCAGACTAAACGGAATTTTGATACTTGAGTGAGCATCAACTCGTTATCACGACGTTTCGTTCTCTCTCTGCAGTTGGATAATCGCACTGGTGAACGTTAACCAGAGCGCGAATACCCTTATATTTCTGTATACATGTATATATAGACCCCCAGTACTCCGCCCTCCAATTTCGATACACCCCAACGAGTCACCATCATATACCGGACAGATTCTGCGCAGTTTGTTGAGCTATTTCCTATCCACCCCCGCACTCTGCCCTCTTTTCACTAACGACAACGACAACGACAACGATCCTCGCCAATTTAAGTTGTCCACGGCCGCCACCATTTTCCTATCAACCGCGGGGCTTTCAGAAACAAAATGGCGGAGGTGGCGCGCGCGTCGGCGGAGGGGGAGGGGGGATGAGAGGATTACAGTGGATTGCCGACGTTGGGCAATTAAACGGTATAATAACGTTAATTATCATGGAGCCAAATGCGGTGTCGAGATTTCTGCTCCGCCTGTTCTTGTTACGCCTGGCTAATTCGCGTCGGAGTGAATTGAAAAAAATTTCTCACACGTAAAAAATAGATTCGGATTGTGTGAATGGATATTCTAGAGGTGAAAATAGATATTGATTTATATTCTGGGGAAAAAGACAAGTTAATATGCCCTTGTTCGGCCGAGATGAAGACATCATAGAGTGATTCTTCAAAATAAAATATCTCGAGCCTTTTTCGGGGACAAAAATGATTTTATTGGTACGCTGAATGAATCTCCCACTCGATTCATTGACAAAGAAAAATCCCTTCATGTTCCGGAGATTTTCCTTTCTCCATTGAGTGGAGTCAGTCAATGGGTCCGTGGGCCCATTCTCAAAGGCTGAATGGGGGTGCTATTTTTTGGAATTCTCAATTTTTCGAAAAAAAAAAAAAATGCTTCTCATCCCTCGTGATTTATAGGGAACTCAATAAAAACGTTTTCTGTGACTGGTCTTTGGTATCGTCTCAACAGGTACATTTATAGTACTCTGAAAAATACGATTATTTTTATAACCATAGCCGAGGAAGAAAAAAATTCCCATAAAGTAGTGGGTTGAGTTTTCGTTGCGGTTGTAATATGCGTGTATCACGTGAACCTCAAGAGTCTCTTTTTTCCTATTTTCTTTATTCTCACTTGCATATGGTAGGGGACCACCTACGGGCCATAACACGGGCTACCACTTTGCGCTCACTTAGCACAACATAAACAACTATTTAGTCAGTGTTTTAACCCCCCAGGGGATAAATGGCTAGACCGATAATACACTAAATTCATCAGCGACAATATTTTCAATCTGGCATGCGCGCCGTCTGCCCGGAAATCTCTCGAAAGTTTCGCCTTGAGAAATAAAAAAACGGGCTTAAAAACCACCGGAGGTTAAAAAAAAAAATGAGTAAGAAAGAATTCAAATTCCAGAAGCTCGTTTCTTGTAAAAATAAACCAGACATTGTGAATTCCAATCGTTCGTCATTCGGCACAGCCAATTATTTAAATGAGACTTTAATTGAATGGCGATTCGCTAACGAGTTGCGGCATGATAATGAGGATATATCAATTCTGATGACCGTTGAAATAAGAAAATAAAATGTGTCGTTGTTGGATGGGAAACAGAGAGAAACTCAGATTCAAACAGATTAGCCTAATGCATGACCAATTTGTAATCATCGTGATATCGAATAATTATACGTTGATTATTTATGACCGGTTATTTATAATATTCGCATGGACAGGCATCCCACACATAAGTGTCAACATTTGCAATTGGTTTTATCTTCAGTAATCTATTTTTAGGTGGATTTCAGTGTGTCTCGAGAGAAAACGGAATATATCTGTCATGCCGGAGGGAAAAAAAGTGAAGAGTGACGCAGAGTTGAGATGATAATGAGTGCGTAATCAGCTCCTTTTCGAATTCGCGTTTGTATTGGGCTGACCGGCAGAGTGGCTGGTTCACCACCTTGAAAATATATTTTCCCCGAGTTAATTAGTAAACAGAGTTGTATGACGTATTATTTGTCCCGTTTGCGCAAATGCAATGATTTTCGTTTGAAATGGGATAACCGGCTTATCGCGTTGAAATAAAAATCAATAGAACACTCGGTGTTTGACCCAATGACCGATAAGGCAAATTAAAAGGACAAACTCAAATGCAGTAAAACCACTAATCTCCCTTAATTGCACTGTGATTAATTAATTAAGATGGTGACGTCTTCTGGTTACGTTGTCATAAGTGAAATAAAAGTGGAAAAGGGAGACGATGATAATCACGAAATTTACACGAAAGCGATTGCATCATCGTCGCGTCGAAAAATCCCCCAGTTACCTTGCACAATACGCAAATTATATCGTTCGTGGAAATTTATGGGGGCGTTAATTGCCTCGAGGAGTCGTTTGGACTAACGAGCGAGTCCAGTGATGCCGCATTCTACCTCGGACAGGACAGTTATGTCGTCGACCAATAAGCCAGTGATTAAAATTCAAACGCGCGCGGCAAAACCTCATAGTAAAAGATTGAAAAAAAAAAAAAAATAATAAAGAAAGAAAAATCACTGGAGTGAAGAGGAAATAAAAAAAATTCGAGTTGATAAAGAGAAAGGCATATAGTAAAACGAGGAGGCAACAAGGGTTTTGCTGGTGTGGGTATTGGCATCGGAGGTTGAAAAAAAATTTCGAATATTTATGTTTCGTATTATTAGCGTGAGTCGGATGATATCGTCGGTGGGCATCGCTAATTAGCCCTCCTCGCAAAAGACTCTGGCCTTTCGGCAAAACAGTGCTTGCTACTGTTGCTGAAGTCGTTCGTGGGTTTTTTTTTTTTCATCTTTTTTTTTTTCAAAAACGTCGGGCAATATAAGGGTATATAATCAAGATGGTGGCGCCAAACCGCCCGGCACTGGTCGATTCCGAAACTAATTGCCACGGCTAATTTATGCTGCGACATGTAACGCACAGTGGTAGCCATTCTCCTAACTACTAACTAATCGTACAGCAAAATCTTTTTGAGTTGCCGGAATAATCCTCGGCTAAATGTTTTCCTTTATTTTCACCCGCCAATGGCCCAATGCCCCAAGTGCCCCCAAGTCATTTACAAATGTATATTAGACGGAGCCAAATTTCCGGGCATTAGTAAATCATTAAATGGATATTTCATTCAATTTTGGGATAATAATAGGTGTGGTGAGTTGTCGAGAGGGATTTAATGAATTACAACGATATTTATCTTTAGACACTTAGGGCTTTATTTAAATAGGTTATTTCTCTATTTTACGTGCTAACGACTTGTACATTTATACAAAATAATGAATATTAAAGGAACAATTAGGAAATAATGTGGGCAATGTTCCTCGGCCAATATTTTTCAAACTCATTTTGGCAATGTCCAGGTGCCTCACCTATGTACAACCGCTGTATTATTTACATGGAAGTATTTACAAAAATAATGACTCTTTGAGATGATCGATTAACCAGGTCTCATCACCATACACCGGATCCAATTTCAATCTCGATTGGAATGAAAGGAAATGAAGAATAAATGACGAGTCATAAATTCACCATGTTTTTGCTAATGTTTTGAGCAGATGACGCCTCTTTCCCGAAGGAGATCGAGTCAACTAATCAAAGGACATTTTCATTCTCTCCCTTGATGAGAGGGTACTGAGTGATGTGGAGCCATGCCAGCAGGATGAGACAGCATACCGACGGGATAGAGTGCTGCTGGCCCGAGAAGACCATGATGAGCCCCATAAAGTGAATTGTGATGCTGTCTAACTGCTGACATTCTCAATTTCTCAATTTCTGCCTCTTGCAGTCGCTTCGCCTTGGCTCGACGATTTTGAAACCATATCTTAACCTGCAACAACAATTAGTCGTCTAATTAATTTTATCCTTGGTAATAGAATAATGAGAGTGAGTGTGCGTGGGCAATGTGAATATTTACCTGAGTCTCAGTGAGGTGTAACGATGATGAGAATTCAGCTCGCTCAGCAACACTGAGATACTGCCTCTCCCTGAATTTCTTCTCCAAAGCCACAAGCTGTTGCGTTGTAAATGGCGTTCTTGGTTTTCGATTGGGCTTGTGCTTCCGGAGATTGCACTTGATTTTGGCTGGCTCACCATTCTCTGCAATGAAAAAATAAAATAGTCTTGTTGCTCTTCCAATAGACCTCATCCCGCATGTTATTTGCTTTTTTATCCCATCCTTAATCCACCGTGACAATTCATAATTATCCGGCGTAACATATAGTCAGATGAGAGCACCCTGTTGAGTTTTTTGTCGAGTGAACAAGACGAAACCGCAGATCCCGGCCGAGACTAAAACCTTAACACGTCTTGATGCTGAGGAGCCCAGTGAAACGCGGACGTGTCTCCCTTTTTTTATTGAACCATATTCTCCTTTTTTCCATTTATCCTTTTTATTCATAACCTTTGAAGCTAAGGGAGGGAGATGAAAACAGCCCAACGAGGGTCATTAAATGAATATAACGATATACGCGGTAAACGGTGCGTTGCATCGTGAATAAAGTCCCCAGTTGTGTATGCACTCTTTTGATTTCTATATTTTTCTTTTTATTCCATCTGCTAGTCCTCTTTTTATCCTCCGTGTCTCTCTACTCTCATCTCTTCTGGATCGTGTGTGAATAAATTTAAGTTGGTATATGATTTATGCTTGGAGCTGTAGTTGATTTAGGCAAATGCTCTTGTACCAACAACCGCAAATTCAAATGAACGACATGCCAATGAGGCTGAGATATCCCCCGTGATTTTCAAAAGCCCATTGAGATTTGTCCCCGAAAACAATTGACAGATTTGTAGGGAGCCAGTTAGACATTCTCGATGAATCCTTTCCACCATCGAGAGGCGAAGGACAAAAGGCCATTTCTCGTTGTTTTTGAATTTCAAATTCAGTTCCCTGATGTTTGTCAGTCGTATATATAACCGATACGAAATACATGAGGATCAAGCCGAGAAGGCACGGGCAATTCGCCTTTGTAGCATCATTCCTTTTCCCCTTCTCCACTCGATTCAGCTAAGGGTCCAATTAGTCTCCGGCCAGTCTTTGGCATTCGGGCTGGTTTGCTCCTTGGGCGATCGGCCAAAAACGCGCTCCCGACGGATTTTAATCCACCATTCCAAAAGCCTTTATTTACCTCAACCAAAACCATTTGGAAGGCCCATTCAAAATAATTAGCTGATTCAACCAAGATAGTCATTCCCCGAAACAGCTACCAGTCTTGGATTTCCGTTCTCTATTCTATTTTTTACGACGACTTATCTTATCTCGACTACTACTACTACTTTGCAGAGGCCCCCAAAAATTCAATCACGAACGGAATGAGAAGAAAAAAAAAATCAACCCCTCCAACATGAGAGGCAGCCACTCCATCCTCAAGTTGCCTGACTGTTCAAATAAACGGCTGTTTAAACTTTCAAGTGTTATATACGCGGGCTAAGGGCTATATTTTCCAGCAAAGTATCCCATAATGCAGAATTATAGGTATTGCTGAGAGAAAAGAAGGGTGGGATAGCATTGAGAATGTTGAAGCGACGGCCGACGGGTACTCTCACCTGAACCACAACAAATCGATAAACATTATTATTCCTTTACCCACCCATACCCAATTCCAAGTGTCAGTGATTACATTAACCAAATGGCCGATGATAATATCAGTAATTGAGGTGTTAATCTTAATGAATACTTACCGTTAAGTGGTGCATGATGAGCAAAATGTGATGGGAAATAGCTGGCAGCTGCTGCAGCAGCAGCAATAGCCACTGCTGATCTGTGTTGGACACTTCCACCCCAGACTGATGCTGGATGAAAGCCCCCAGGGAGTCCAGATAACGAGCCCAATGTCGAGAATCCACCGACATACGCTGGCATCGGTCTCACTGGATTCGGACTACTGGTTGTCCCCTGCTGTTCCAAATCCTCAACATCAACCAGACTTCCCTCCTCATCATCCTCCATATCTAATTCAGAACACCTTGATCTTGCACCATCGTGCGAACTTCTCGGCGAGTGCGAGACATAGTCCTGAATATTGATTGATGGATTTGGTGATGATGTGAGCATATTCGATATGGAATGACTGGTCTCTGTGAATTTTTGCGGTGAACTCGCGGTTCTTGTTTCACAGACTCTAGTGGGCGACTGTGATAATGTGTAACTGACATTCTCGGATGTATCCGGACTCTGATTCCGGTACTGACGATTGCCAACCGGTGAATAAGCACTGGTGACTGGTGATGAGGTTGGTGATGGGTAGACTGTTGATGCATTTGACACTTCTACCTTGGGCTTCTTGGTGTCAGCTAGGAGAGCAGCCACTGAGAAGCTCAATCTCTGTTGATTTGGCCGAGAAGTGGGAACAGGTGCTTGTGCCTGTTCTGGTGATGCTGGGCTCGTTGACGGAGGTGTCACAGGAGAGCTTGTCATCCTTAACACTGTCATCGTAGAACGTTGACACTAATCTCGTTCCAAAACCCTGAACAAGTCACTTTCCAACGAGTCTTCAAATTTCACAACACTTAATCATTCGAAGTGATAACTGTCACTTAATTAGCCTTATCATCCACAAATTGACAAATGGTCATTAACTGGTGATTAGAGTTTGTTGATGACAAAGAGTCGAGGGATAATAATCGGTAATGAGAGTTAGCTAGATATTTGTGTTGGTAACTGTTTTGGATTTAGATTCCAAGTGAGATCTCTTCCTAGCGAGCTCTCGGAGTGGACTGACCGAGGATCCAACAGCAGGAACTCAACCGACGACTTTTTCCTTCCACAACATAGCTCGGGTTGCTAAGGTGGGGGTAAAACACGATGAATACGTCTAGTTTATGGAAAAGGGGGCGGCAACGAGCTCAACGATTCGGGGGGTGTGTTTCTCCCTTGTTCACGCCCCTATGTAGAAAACTTGTGCGTTGGATAGAGACAGAGTGTGCAATCGGGAGAACGTGAAGTGAATATTTTTCTCGTGCACGGGACGAGTTTTGAATCTCATGCAAATGCACATCAGGAGAGGGGGCTAAAGAGAGGAGGAATGACAAAGGGAGGAGAGACTGTAGCGCCGTAGGGGCGAAGAGTGAGATCTAATCGCAACTCGCCATCCTACATCGGAGACGTTAATGAGCGTAATTGACCAATTAGACTCGACGATTGTATATATACCGACTGGAGAGGGGAGTGAAAAATAAACATCGTGGAAAATTTTCTATATTCCGACAATCTCGAGACTCCACGCTTCAATTCACTCTAATGAAATGTTTATTTCGTTATTCGTATGGGGGCAATACTAGCGTATACTTTTTATATTTTATCATTCCGTCGTGTTGAGGGGTATATCTCAAACTATATCTGCCGGATAATTTTGAAATCGTTTCAATGTCCGCTTTTCCGTTTTTTTTTTTTTCGGTTTTTCTCTCTCTCACACACTCTTTCAGGCATTTTTTTCCAGACAAGGTCAGAGTCAATGATGTCGTTTGCATACAAACGTTAACTTCACTTCGTCTGACAATACCGCGTAACCAACTAAACAATGTCAAAGATCAGGATGACAATGAGAATCGGAAATGCAAACGTATCGTTTTATGGCAGGCATACAAATTAACATTTTTAATTACAGTTTTATTGAATCAAAACAACTATTTGATTCGTCGATTAATAAGCAGCGGAAAGTGGGTCAAGAGGTCAAGTCCCTCGTAGTGTTGTCACGATCATTATCATCAAATTTCAATTAATGCGAGCTATCTTTGGCTTTGAATAATTTTATATTGAGACCTTAAATTTTTTTAATCACGCGAGCCCGTCCGTTATCGCAAAAAAAAAACGAAATCATGGATTTTCATCTGGGATTTTGTATTTGCATTGGACGTATCGTTCGTCATATTTACGATTGCCTCGATTGTGGTTGTCGCAAACACACTGGGGCGATAAGCAAAAACAAATGAGCCCCTCTGATAGTCGAGGCTGATAAAA